TCTTGAAATCATGGGTATCGAGTTTTGGAATACCCAATTAAATGGAGTCGATACCCAATTCCAAAGGAAATGATGGAGAAATACCCAATTCACTTTTAAAGCTTATCTGTTGCTCTGAATGGCCTTATTACACTCCTGTGAATTATGTGTCAAATGCTTTTTGAAACGTTAGAAATGTGTTTAGAACAAAAATCATATATTTCAGGTCACATACCTGACACTGCAAGGAGGTATCACAAGAAGCGATATGTCAAAAAGAGTCATGAAACACTGCATGTCAAATCAGTTGGCACTTCAGTTCAACTGGTTTGGCAAGAAAGGGAAGAGAGCGTTTGGGAAACTGAAGCTGGCCAAGGCAGTGCAAAGTAATTATTTTATTTTCATTTAAAATTTTATGGATAACCAAACACATAATTGTTACAGACAGTAAGAAACCTGCATATTTGACTTAGATATTTGATTAAAAAGAAGAAAATATATCACTATGTTCTCACCTCTGCATAGAAAAGGATATTTTATAAAAAATAATATATCCCAAACTGTGATTTTATTGCTTAATTTAATGTTTGGAGTTCAAATGCGAGGAATTATATCAGGAGGGAGTAGCCTGATTGATATAATGATTGTATTCGAATATCATAGTGATTTTATAATGCAGTGAAATCACTTTTTTGGATATATTATTTCGATTCTAACAACAACAGATAAATACTGCCGTACCTAGTATTAAGGTACACTGCGTCTGATTTGTTTCCATACTCATTTTCAGCGCCTCACATTTTTAAATGCTAATGTCACATATCTGTAAATGGTTTCGTCACATGTTTAAATACAGTGATTTTATTGCATAATAACACACTTCAGGTCCTTCTGTGTTTAATAGAGGAAAATGCGGGTTGTGTTAGAATATTATATAAATTTTGGATAAAGTTAATATTTTTTATGATGTATACCTTTACTTGATGTGTTAATTGATAAAAGCATAATATTCAGTTTAGAACACTTGAATGTATGGAGAAGTTAATATTTTAATTAAGTATATCACAAAAATTTAAGGAGTATATATAGTCTACCACTACATGTGTCTATAAAGTTCTGCCAGAACAAATAAGTAGGTAGATCTTATTTTCTTTTTTAATTATACTTACAGAAGCAGTCATGAAATGTAAAAAATGTACAGCAGCTGAAGTCGAATTAGATTGTAGAGAATGGTTTCGAAGTGCATGTGACAGAGACGGGGGCCGTAAAAGAAGACAAAAAACCAATGAAGGTGTCCCAGAAACACCCACTGAATAGAACTTTTAAATATATTTATAGCGATATTGAAAGAAAAAAGATGGCTCTTTTAATTTGGAAGTAATGTAATGTCATTCTAGCCTAATAGTTCAAGAACATATAGCCTAAGAAGAATAAATCATACATAAATAGTGATATAGTTAAACTAAACATTATTGAGATATATTTAAGAAACAATATCAGTTTCTGTGTTGTTCATCGGCTATTTAAAATCAGTTTAAGCTTGTGTGTCAGGCAGGATTATATATATTGTGTTTACATCGTTGCTGGATTAATGATTCTTCAGCCCCTGACCAGTTTAAAGTGACGCCATTCTGGCACTTGTATGAACAAGCTGCATACTTGGGATGACGTTTTTATGGTGCTTACGAGTTCGCGTCAATTTGTCTTATAAAACTTATATCAATCTGTTGGTCGGTGAATGTGAGATGTTACTTTAGCATCATATGAAAAGAAGAAAAAAAGTGAACTGAAAACATCAGAAAAAGTGCGTTATTATTTTTGCTGTAAAAAGAATTTGAAAACTATTTTATTGAGGGAGAACAAAAAACAGCGGCATATTTGTGTAGTCCATAATCAGTGCTTATTGGAAGTTTACGCCGTTAAAATCCTTCTTTGTTATAGAAACAAAATCTCAAGGAGTGTTAGATTTACATAAGATGTACATATTGTTATTGTTTTTACTCATTCAGTATTTCAATCGCACATATCAAATATTGAGATTATGGTCATAGCTTCATGATAATCAAATAATTTTTACAATTATAATACTAAATCCTGCGATTTGTGAATCTATAATTCAATTATTGTTTTTGATTCGTTATTATAGGTTGTTTTTTTGTTTTATGCTTTGAAAAAATATTATAAATCCATTTTATTACCATGCCTTGCCAAATGTATAGTCAAGTCTAGTCTTTATTTTTTGCATTGTATTTTACATTGTTTTATTCTTACATTTATTTTCTTTAATAATTCTGCATAATTGCTGATATTTTTTATTTATTTTTTTCTATTATTGCATAATAGCTGAAGTATAGAGAAAAAAAACACCCATAAAAATGCAATGTTGTAGATTCATTCTCAGTTTTTAAATGGAATTTAAATCATAGCTTTTGAACATATTGAGTTTTATTATTGGCATTTTTAATTTGTTTGTTTATAATGTTTTACCAAGGAAGCAGAACTAAATTGAATTATTACTAGTCTTTTATATCTTTTTTAGCTCGACTATTCGATAAGAATAAGTACAGCTATTGTAGTCACCCGAGCGTCGGGTCCGCGTCGGCGTAACCACTTATGTTAAAGTTTTTGTAATAGTTCAAATATTTTCAAAGTCCATTGACATATGGCTTTGAAACTTTGCACACCTGTTCGCCATCATGACCCCAACCTGTAGACAGGAGGAGGTAACTGTATCAAGCTTTTTGACAGAATTATGCCCCTTTTTCCACTTAGAATTTACGTTAAAGTTTTTGTAATAGTTCAAATATTTTCAAAGTCCATTGACATATGGCTTTGAAACTTTATCAAGCATTTTTACAGATTTATGCCCCTTTTTCGACTTAGAATTTACGTTAAAGTTTTTTGTAATACCTCAAATATTTTCAAAGTCCATTTTTGGGGGGGGGGGGGGGTGTTGTGCACTTTTTCTCACATACTTCTCAAATATTTATAACAAAACGATGAAAAATGGATTGTTTGCTGTTATGTTATTGGGTTTTATTTGCAGTCTGCGATAAACAATTTAATTTTGATAAAGCAACAAATACTAGTTTACAGTACCATTGTCCTTTAAAAATACAAATATATTTTTTCCAATCTTTGTTAAATTCTCTTTTGACTGTGATGTTAACTGCTGTACACAATTAACATACATTTGTTAAAAAAAAATATTGATTCTATGATATACATGTATATTTGCCAAATGAAAATAAAAAGCTTATATTTAAGCTCAATTGTGTTTTTTTGTTAATTGGAATGAAAAAATCAAAGTAAAATGTTTTATTAGAAGAAAAATTAAAGGTTAATTTATGTCGGTATGACACCGGTTTCAAATCGATCTAACGATATACAGCCGATATCGGCCCGACTTGTAACCGGGTTGCACATCCGACATCTGTCCGATATAAGAAATCGATATCGGGCCGACATAACTGATATCGGGCTGATATTGGACCGATATAAAATGTTTGCTGGGTAAAGACGTAAAAACAAATGCAATTGCTTTAATCGATCGTCGATATGCAACTTGTTTTTCCAAAATTTCTGTTTCATCAAGGAGCTTTATATCTCTGTAACAAAAAGTCCGGTGTCATAAAGCAGTGCAAAATATGTAGAATATATGTGGTAATATTAGTTGTATCATAGTTTGGGGACCTTTCTGTTGAAAATGTGTCAGAGTTAAATCGTATACATATACATGCACAGTGCGTTAACTGGAGTGCAGGTATTAGTTACCCGCACTCCAGAGAATGCCCATTGATTGGCTCATTTTTGCTAGGATTTACATACTGTGACGGGAGAGAAAGGGAAAGCGACAGAAATATCATATTCAGATGCTCGTTCATTGGTTACTTTTTTCCGGGGTTTCATATTGTGACAACAGGGAACGTGATTTTATGTTTGACTATGATACAAAAGAGAAAGAACATCAAAACACTCGGCAATCTGATTAATACTCGGGGGCTACGCCCCTTCGGACATATCAGATAGCCTCGTGTTTCGATGCTCTTTCTATTACATGTTTGTGTCACCGTCTTTCAAAGCAGGGTCTTTCAAATAGAAAGACCAGGCCTGTTCAAAGGATTAATTATATATCGTTTGTGCTTAGACTTGGTAAACTTGTATCAGTACCCAGATACATGTGCTCTATTTTTGTCTTCAAAATATTATGATTAATAAACATTAAATTTGTGTCTATCACAAGGTAGACATCCTGTGAAGACGGTTCTCATGCGATAGGCTTATAGGTAAGGGGAGGTAACTGTTGTCTCTATATTACAAGCTTTCCCTTTGAGTGGTACGTAATTTAAAGATGTTTTGGACCTTTTGAAAGAATTGTGTTCGGGCTAATTATTGTTAAATAATTTGTCGTTGAGTATCTTGTTGTTTGACGTGCATAGCATATATTAGACTCTACCTTTTAATTAAGTTACTAAGGTAGTATTATAAACTTAGAAAACAACTTAAAAACGAAAAAATATATATCGCCCTTATATCTGTCTGGACCAAAAATTAATATGTTATTTTTGGTCAAAGTAACGGCTTAAAAAATCACGGCATTTGGGTAAAAGTGTTGTTAAAATAGTAATTATACTTGTCTAACACTAAATCATATGTACATATAATATAGTAGTAATAGGCCTACATGTCTAGTTCCGTGAATATACCCTGCGTAAGCTGTAAAATGTTTTTCTTATACAAAATTACCCGTCGTGCAAAAACATTTTATGTAGCATGGGAAACTTGCCGTAAACTATACTGGATACCAAATTACCCGCCGTGAAAAACAGGTGTGTGCCCGTCTAACTTATCAACCAATCAAAACTTATCTTACTTCCTAGGACGAATTTAGAGGTATGCCGAAAAATGCAAAATGGAGTCTACAATGTCAAGTTTCGTGAGTTGCAACTAAACTTGCTTTAAATCGTTCAAAAATAATAGAAGTAAATCATTTGTAGCAGAAATATTTAATGCAATTTAAAATGAGACTTGGAACGTTAGTTTTGCAGCAACTGGAAGACGAGGTAAATAAATTTTTGATGTGCAATTTTTGTGTTTTCTCATGACCACTTGTTACTCACACCTTGCATACAAACTCACCACCTTTATTTCATACCTAATTTTGTATGAGTAAAGATTCCTGTCATTTAATCAGTATACCAGAAATCTTCACAATTTATCATCGGTGGCCGGTGTATCTTGCAGTCTACAACACTGCAATTATTAATTTTATTTTGAAACCTGGAAGTAAGTGCTTAGTCATAATTTCTACATTAAAAATTTACATTTTGTATGGGAATTAAAATGGAATCGGATGGCAATATCTTCGCTTATCAGTGGGTACATTCCATTGGCGCCATTGATGGTCTAATTTAGTTTTGTATGTGTTGACAGTAGTGCTCAGGATTTTGGGAATATGACCCATACCCATGGAATTGGGAAAATCATCAATGTTTTGTTACAACTTGGGGGGAATTGCATGACTTAGATTTTGCATTGATTAAATAAATGCAAAGAATCACTGTCTGTGATGGCATTTTCAAACATTTGAACACCTGTAACAGTAAAGAAGCTCTTATTTTCAAAGATTTTAGAAGTTGTTGTTCATTATTTGAGCCGCTTCACGACAAAACCAACATAGTGGGTTTGTGACCAGCATAGATCCAGACCAGCTTGCGCATCTGCGCAGTCTGGTCAGGATCCATACTATTCGTTTACAAACCCTATTATGAGTACAGAAACTTATAGTGCACAGCATGGATCCTGATCAGACTGGGCGGATGCGCAAACCCATTATGTTGGTTTTGTCGTGACGCGGCTAATTTTTATTTGTGAATTGGGAATTATTTCCTGTGGATTGGGAATATAATATACTATTTTCAATTGGGAATATAACCGATTATCGGCTATAAAATAAGACCAAAAAAATCCCTGCGTAGCTGTAGGGGTTCTTTTTGTGGGTCGCTTTTTGTGAAACTTTTAGTGTTATTTGTGGTCCCAAGAACCACTGACAGGACCCGACTGCTATCTTTTAGTATACAAGACAGTACCCTCCCTTTTAAAAAATACTCATTGGTACCCAAAAATGCTGAACAGCCCCAAGAGTTTAGTTAAACAAAATTGTTGTAGTAAAACAACTTACATAAAGCGTCTCTTACCGTTGAGTTATTGCAAATGATAGCATCATCCATGGGGTGCCATTAAGACGAATTAAGTAGTACCCGGGGACAACAATAAATAACCTCATCAACATTAAAGGAAGTTTTGAAGTCAATTACTCCATTATTTTGTTTTATGACTTCCAAAATGTTTCACCTTTTCTTCTCTAATGTATATACATACACATGTCAGAGATTTTGCAGTCTCCTACTTCCAAGTTTCAAAACTAAATGTCAGAATATATGATGTATTGAAAAAAAGAAAAGAAAAATGACACCTCGAAGTGTGTTGGGAATCACTTTGACGAACCATTTTCAGGGCTCTAGCTAGACCAAAATTTTAGGGAGAAGTGACTTCTCCCTCAGGTCCTATCAGGGAGAAGTTTGACGACATAAGGAGAAGTGAAAAAGTGCTTAGCACATTGATTTGAAATTGATCTATAAAAAGGAGTATTACCTATTTATTGATAGTGATATTTGAAGTATAAATTCTAAAACCCTCTATCATCAGACCATTATAATAATTTCTTCCTGATTAACTCCACACACCCCCCTCCCTTAAGAAAATATTCATTGTACAACACATACTGGCAAAATTCTTAATCAAAATTAATGTAAACAATACCTTAAGGAATTTTCATTACTAAACTACATTTTAAGTGCTATTGGACACATTTTAACAAAACAAATTTTCCTTTTGGTAACTTTATTTTTTCATCGTAAAAATCGGCATCGCGAAAATATGTGACAAATGAAAATGTGTCTGTTTCCTGCAAAAACACTTACAATTCTAGTTGTTGTTGACTTTGATTATATTAAATTAAATATCCAATGATTATTTTTAGATTGTTTTTCATCCGCTATTGCAACAGGCATTGACATTGTAAAACAAAATGTTCAAATTTGTAGTTTACCGCATAATTTACCGACGTTTATGTAACTTTTTGACTGCTGTTTTTTACTTGTCCAAAATTGGTTTAATGTGGGTCAATATTTTTTAAGTTCTTTAACAAATTTCATTTTTACTATCAAACCGGTATCAAACCATTTACTTGTGCTTCTGTGTGTATTACTTTATAATAAATTTATATGCAAGTAAATTTACACGGTCTGTGTGAGGTTGCGTGTATTTACTGTCAAATATGGTAAGAGCAATTCAGGGTGTAATCTTTTCACACTTGCTGATAAAATAGTGGCAGGTGCCGTAAAATTATGCTTAAAATATGTGATGTTTACATCGGCGAATTAAATGGCTATAATGTCCCGGACTCCGATGCATCTGCATATCATGTCACTTAAATGTGTTAATTGATGTCAATTATTGGCAGGAACTGTGCGTCACTAATTCAGTTTGATTTATGCCTGGAGGCGAGGATTAACTTAATTAACATGCGCTGTATGATATTTTAATGTACATGTGGTCAGTAAAAAAGCGCGGCGAAGTCGTTTTCGCTTTGATGTTCAAACTCGGCGAAGTTCTGAAACTTTAGGCGACTAAGTCGCCCAAATCGCCCAGTTGCTAGAGCCCTGATTTTATAAAACATGGATACATTATACATATTATGTAACAGAAAGAGTCGGCATTTTTGTTATACTAGGCAATAGTTTTACCTGTCTGATTGTACACATTAGGTATCAGGCCCTTCTGTACACTAAATTTGGGATTATTATTTTTTTTTTTTACAAGTCTAAGCTAAAAAGCCTGTAGGGTCAGGCATATTTTTCAGGTAAGTTTCAGTGACCTGATCTACACAATATTTAAGCCTTGTCTAGAAGTTCAAATTTGTCAGTACATTGTTACATCGGCCCCCACTAAAGTGAGGTGCAAAAAGTTTTTTCTATGTGGTATAGAGTATCATAAAAATTTGCTTTTATTTTTAATGTACATGTAGTCAAGGTTAGATATAAATATACTCCTTGTTTACTTTGCAGCCTCCTTTAGTTCAAGCTTGCTTCCATGGTGATCCTGATGAAGTTCGAGCTCTGTTATACAAGAAAGAAGATGTCAATTATCAGGTAAATAAAGAATAAAGAAATTATCTTTGTGGGATATTAGATTTTGAAACTCTTGTCTGCGAGCCTATTGATTGTAGCTGAGTGGTAAAGACCACTTACTTTTAAGACTTACCCGTAATCACTGAGTTCAAATCCTATTATATCATTTACATGTAAATATCTGGCTAGCTTTTGGAAGATCAGTGGTTTTAATTAGTGCCTGCGTCTGCCGGTATTAATCATAAATAGTGGTAAATTTTGCAGGAAGACAGTTTCTGGTCTTAAAGATATAGTGTTAAGTGTTGTTCATCTATTGTTAGACTGCTGTGGCATTTAGCTGATACACAATTTAGATTATCTCAAACATTTAGAAGATCTGGCATTTGACAATTCCTACAATTTTTACTATACATGCAATGTACAACTACATGTATCCCTTGCATACAATTTTTCTGATTCAGTGTGTGCTGCAATGGCATATATAAATGATGAGGCGCTGTTATTTGTATTTTCTTTGTGAAAACTACAATGTATTTATTAGGGCTGTAATTGATGGAAAATTTTGTATCAATATATCAAGAGACAAATATCGACGATATATTGATATATTAGCATTGACAGTAATCCAATGAAAAACATTTAAATGTATGTTTTAAATTGGGATCATGGTGTTATGCATGCTTCTATTAGACATTACAAATACTTCACACAAACAGAAAGTTTGTTTTTTTTCTGTTATTTTTGTCACTGACATTTGAAAACAGAGTTTAAAGTTCAAGTTAGCCAAGAAAACTAGAAAGAGTGACTTCTCTTATTAGGCAAAAAAGAGAGGTATATTAACTAACAGAAATAAAAAAAATTATATTTGAAAGTGTGTATCGATATCATATTGAATCGGATGATGAATATCGATGATACATCGATATTGCGATATTCAATTACAGCCCTAGTATTAATAGACTGTTCTAAATTCAAAGCATAGCAAGTCTAAAATGCAGGGCAATTTTTAAATTTTAGGAAGTATAACATTGTGTATTTGCAAAAGGTTAAGGAGGAGAAAAAAAACTTTTTGTAAATTGAATTTTAGGGGGGAAAACTTCAAGATTTTAAGGAATTTTCGCGAGGGCAAGCAGCCTTTAAATGGCCCATGCTCTAGAAGGAAAACGCAAATTTAGGTAGGTACATTGAAGCGTTAATTCAGATAAATTTATTAATTTCAGGACACTGAGAAAAGAAGTCCCTTACATACTGCAGCCTATTGTGGAGAGGCAGAAATTGCTGACCTGCTTATACTGAATGGTGCACGTGTAAATACAAAAGACAACAAATGGTTGACACCACTACATAGAGCTTGTTGTTCAAAAAGTGAGGTAAGTGTAAAAAAATTTAACCGTTAGCCTTTTGGGCATCTGTGACCAAGTGGTTATGGTCGTCAACTTCACAACACTTGCCTTTCAGCGCTGTAGGTTCCAGCTGGGCAAGCATTGTCAGATTCTACTTGTGAAAAAGCTTATATCCAGCAAGCTTAGAGAACATTGTTAGTTCTATTTTGGTGCCTGTTTATGTCTGAAATAATGAACAACAGGCATCGTCGGAGCGACATAAAATGCCCTCAAAAAATTACCTTTAGTGTTTTAACTGGTTGTACCCATGCAACCAGTGCAGGCCGAGATCAGCGTGCATGTCCATCCTGTCCAATCATAGTTTTGCATATAGATTCAGTAAGTACTTATTTTGATATCTCCCCTAAAAATGATTAATGATTTTGTCCAGATTGAAGGGTGGACCAGGCCATTTCTGATATTAAGTGTGTTTGGATTTAACAATATTTTTGTAGTATTGACATGATTGAGATAATTTGAAGTGTTTGCCAGGATAAAACTTTTTTATTTATTTACTACATCATTTAATGAATGAGAGACAATATAAATTTGTATATATCCATCCAAATAGAGAAAATAAATAAATAACTAATTTAAAAAGTGGCTGCATGGCCGAGTTGTGAATATGTCAAACTAATAATCCTATGATCACTAGCCATATGGGTTCAAACCCTGCCGGGGACAAGCCTTTGTTTCTTTGAGCAAAAATTTTTACATTCATTGTTCAGTACTGGTTGGTTCCAGGAACGGATTCAAAAGTTTTTCTATAAGGTTGTAGCTTCCTACACAAATGAACTAAAACAAATTCTGTATAAACCAAAGAATTAAGACAAGTGTTAGCTAGGTTTTAATATCATTGAAGGAAGATAAATCTGTCTCACTGCATCATGTAAAATCTATTTACATTATTGAAATTACTTAAATACAAGAAGGAAAAATGAGTTTTCTTAATTCTCGAGATCAATTTAATTATCTTTAAAGCTACTGTCTCAGAGATAACATGAAAGTATCTTAAAGCGGAATGCTTGTCTAAATTGTACTTAGTCTTGTATTACTTTTGAATGATCTATTATATTCTATCAATGTATATTTAACCAGGTTTTCAACGAAAACCGGGTTATTGTAATGCCGAAGTCGGCGGGCGTGTGGGCGGGCGGGCATCAACTTTTGGTTTCCGGTCAATAACTTGAGTTTGCTTTGCCCTATTGACACCAAACTTGGTGTGTAGGTAGCTTATATCAAGAGGCAGCTTGGGATTGCTACCCAGGTGTCTGTGATCAAGGTCACTGTTACTAAAAATAGAAATTCAGTTTCCGCTCAATAACTTGAGTTTGCTTTGCCCTATTGACACCAAACTTGGTGTGTAGGTAGCTTATATCAAGAGGCAGCTTGGGATTGCTACCCAGGTGTCTGTGATCAAGGTCACTGTTACTAAAAATAGAAATTCAGTTTCCGCTCAATAACTTGAGTTTGCTTTGGACTATTGACACTAAACTTGGTGTATGGATAGCTCATATCAAGAGGCAGCTTGGGATTGCTACCCAGGTGTCTGTGATCAAGGTCAAGGTCACTGTTACTAAAAATAGAAATTCAGTTTCCGCTCAATAACTTGAGTTTGCTTTGACTTATTGACACCAAACTTAATGTATGGGTAGCTCATATCAAGAGGCAGCTTGAGATTGCTACCCAGGTGTATGTGATCAAGGTCAAGGTCACTGTTACTTAAAATAGAAATTCAGTTTCTGCTCAATAACTCGAGTTTGCTTTGACCTATTGACACCAAACTTGGTGTGTAGGTAGCTTATATCAAGGGGCAGCTTGGGATTGCTACCCAGGTGTCTGTGATCAAGGTCAAGGTCACTGTTACTAAAAACAGAAATTCAGTTTCCGCTCAATAACTTGAGTTTGCTGTGGCCTATTGACACCAAACTTGATGAATGGGAAGCTTATATCAAGAGGCAGCTTGGGATTGCTACCCATGTGTCTGTGATCAAGGTTAATGTATTTAGTTTTCATGTTATAACTTGAGTTTGCTTTGACCTTTCACCAAACTTGCTGAGTGGCAGCTTTGGATTGCCACTTACATATCTGGGAGCAAGTTCAAGGTCATTTGCTTACAATATAATTTTCAGCTTCTACTCAATAACTTCAGTGCACTTTGACCTATTGATTGCTGTCACATCAAAACTTGGTCGTTGAAAACCTGGTTTTCGTCGCATTGCGGCGCTTCTTGTTTTCTTTTAGACTTACATAATAAAAGGAGCATTTTTCTTTTTAGTTAATTGAATACTTTAATAATTAAAAAAACAATTAAGTGTTTATTTATTAGCTCACCTGTCACAAAGTGACAGGGTGAGCTTTTGTGATCGCTTTTCGTCCGGCGTCCGTCCGTCGTCCGTCCGTCCGTCGTCCGTCGTCCGTCCGTAAACTTTTGCTTTAAATGACATCTCCTCATAAACCACTGAGCCAATTTCATCCAAACTTCACAGGAATGTTCCTTTGGTGGTCACCTTTAAAAATTGTTCAAAGAATTTAATTCCATGCAGAACTCTGGCCGCCATGGCAACCAAAAGAAAAATCTTTAAATATCTTCTTTTAAACAACCCTAAGAGCTAGAGCTTAGATATTTGGCATGAAACATCTTCTAGTGAGTGTCTACCAAGTTTGTTCAAATAAAAGCCCTGGGGTCAAAATTGGCCCCGCCCCAGGGGGTCATTGATTTTCCCTATATGCATATAGTAAAAACTTAAAAAATCTTCTTTTAAAGAACCCAAAGAGCTAGAGCTAAGATATTTAGCATGAAACATCTTCTACTGAGTGTCTACCAAGTTTGTTCAAATAAAAGCCTTGGGGTCAAAATTGGCCCTGCCCCGGGGGTCATTGATTTTCCCTATATGCATATAGTAAAAACTTAAAAAATCTTCTTTTAAAGAACCGTAAGAGCTAGAGCTTAGATATTTGGCATGAAACATCTTCTAGTGAATGTCTACCAAGCTTGTTCAAATAAAAGCCCTGGGGTCAAAATTGGCCCCGCCCCAGGGGGTCATTGATTTTCCCTATATGCATATAGTAAAAACTTAAAAAATCTTCTTTTAAAGAACCCAAAGAGCTAGAGCTAAGATATTAAGCATGAAACATCTTCTAGTGAGTGTCTACCAAGTTTGTTCAAATTAAAGCCTTGGGGTCAAAATTGACCCTGCCCCGGGGGGTCATTGATTTTCCCTATATGCATATAGTAAAAACTTAAAAAGTCTTCTTTTAAAGAACCATAAGAGCTAGAGCTTAGATATTTGGTATGAAACGTCTTCTAGTGAATGTCTACCAAGTTTGTTCAAATAAAAGCCCTGGGGTCAAAATTGACCCCGCTCCAGGGGGTCATAGATTTTCCCTATATGCATATAGTAAAAACTTAAAAAATCTTCTTTTAAAGAACCCAAAGAGCTAGAGCTAAGATATTTAGCATGAAACATCTTCTAATGAGTGTCTACCAAGTTTGTTCAAATAAAAGCCCTGGGGTCAAAATTGGCCCCCCCCGGTGCCCCAAAATATAGTAAAACTTAAAAAATCTTCTTTTAAAGAACTCAAAGAGCTAGAGCTAAGATATTTAGCATGAAACATGTTCTAATGGGTGTCTACCAAGTATGTTCAAATAAAAAGCCCTGGGGTGAAAACTGGCCCAGCCCGGTGGGGGTCATTGATTTTCCTTATATGTGTATAGCAAAAACTTAAAAAATCTTCTTTGAAAAAACCCAAATAGCTAGAGTTTAGATATTAAGCATGAAACATCTTTAAGTAAATATCTACAAAGTTTGTTCAAATGAAAGCCTGGGGGTCAAAACTGGCCCTTCCCCAGGGGTGTCATTGTTTTTAACTATATGTGTATAGTAAAAACTTAAAAAATCTTCTTTTAAAAAACCCCAATGAGCTAGAACTTAGATGTTTTAGCATGAAACATCTTCTTATGGGTGTCTACCAAGTCTGTTCAAATAAACAAATAAAAGCCCTTGGGTAAAAATTGGGGTGGGGGGGCTATATACAGGTGAGCGACCTCAGGGCCATCATGGCCCTCTTGTTTTAATATTTTATGAATTATACGTATAAATGTTTTGTTGAATTCTATTTTGTTAATTATTGTCCCCTATATATCATAGTATTAAACACATCATAGCAGCACATAGATAGCATATATTATAATATAGCCTTGATTTTCATTAAGGTATGACCATCTTAACACCAACATTTTAAACATTACCAGATATTTGAGAATTGAATAAAATGTAAAAGTACACAATTTCAAACCATTTTCCGTTTTGTTTTAGAGAATAAATGTTTTCAGATTTAAACCTTATTTTGTAGTTCCCAATATGCCCGCCACTGTCTATCTGTAGACGCCAACTTAATTGGACTTTGGGGGTTATTTCCCTTAGTAAAATTTTATAGAAACCATATACATGTATTTAAACTTAACTGTGTTCTTTTGCCTTTTAATTACAACACAACAATTTTGTCTTATATACAGAAATCATGTCTTTAATTACAACTTAACAATTTTTTTATATATACAGAAATCATATCTTTTAATTACAACATGACAATTTTGTCCTATATACAGTATTCTTTTAATTACAACACAACAATTTTGTCCTATATACTGTATTCCTTTAATTACAACACGACAATTTTGTCCTATATACAGTATTCCTTTAATTACAACACGACAATTTTGTCCTATATACTGTATTCCTTTAATTACAACACGACAATTTTGTCCTATATACAGTATTCCTTTAATTACAACACGACAATTTTGTCCTATATACTGTATTCCTTTAATTACAACACAACAATTTTGTCCTATATACTGTATTCCTTTAATTACAACACGACAATTTTGTCCTATATACAGTATTCCTTTAATTACAACACGACAATTTTGTCCTATATACTTTATTCTTTTATCTACAACAGGACACAGTAAAAACCCTCCTAAAACATCAAGCTGATGTGAATGCACGTGACAAGAACTGGCAGACTCCGCTGCATGTGGCCGCAGCAAATAATGCCGTGCGATGTGCCGAGGCTTTTATTCCACATTTAACCAATGTGAACGTGTCAGATAGAGGAGGCCGGACAAGTCTACATCATGCTGCTTTCAACGGCCATAAAGAGGTATTTATGCTTTTTTAAATGTCTAGAAATTGATATATGTACCTTGTACCTACGTTCGTACACTTCTGGGGTCTGTTTTTTTAGCTCAAAAAGGCGAGTATCAGATTTGTGATCTTGGAGTTGCTTGGATGAGGTCAATATCTCAATGACAGTCGATGTCAGTTATTATACTTGTACCTTGGACCCACTTTTCATACTCTACTGGCGACCATCCACCTAGCTGAATAGGGAGAGTATCAGCTTTATAATTGGGAGTTGTTCAAGTTAGGTGAATATCTGTATGACAACTGATCTCAAGCGTTGAGTCTATTGGTCATAACAGCAAAATTTCCCTTTGGCAATTTATTGCGGGGAATTGGTCTCGTGGTCATTTGTCTCTCACCACTGATTCAGAAATTAGTTGTAAATTGTTCACAAAAAATTGGCCATTACTGGTTAGATATCCAGGAAAGATGGTAAGTTGGACCGATTACTTAGGTATGGCCAATGGATGAATGTGTTGAAATTAGCATCACTGCCTTATTTTCAGTTCTAGAATAATAACTAGTAATAAAAACTTGGCATCAATTTGGATTTTTTGGTTACTCTTATTATCTAGTTATGATTCTGTTTCTTTGATATACAAATATATTATATTTTGTGGTTATTTTTAGATGATAAAGCTATTATTAGACCAAGGAGCGACCATTAATGCCTTTGATAAAAAGGACCGTAGAGCAATACACTGGGCGGCCTACATGGGTCATGTAGAGATTGTTAAAATGCTGGTTGATCATGGTGCTGAATTAAACTGTCAAGATAAACAGGTATGTCAACTTTTTGAATCTTTGAAACCAAAATAATTTAACCCCTGCCACCATTATAGAGCCTGGTCAGCGACTGCATTCAAACAATCTGATGCAAATTAAACAACAACAAGATGCAGTTTGAAGCAGAAAAAGATAAAATGGTATTATGCTCATTCAAGGGTATATAGTGAGTATGCAGGTGAAAGTCAGTATAAGTTTATAGTTTGCCTTAGTTCCTTTTAATTTTATAATTTACTTTGCATGAACCATAACTCACATGGCTCAAGGAAATTCTGAAAATATCCATCAGAATTTACACGTAAAATTCAATTTATAAAAAAGAGTGGGACAGTCTTTTTATATTTTAGGGAGATTTAATGTTTTATCCTGAACATTTTCCAATATCAACTGTTTGTCAATCACCATTATAAAGTCAATCTTTTGAAATGTACAGTCAATTCAGCTCAACTTGAACACGGAAAAATGAGCAAACTTGACAATGGAAAAATAGCATAATGTCACTTGAACTATACAAGTTTAGGGAGGGATGGGGGGGGAGGTTACTGAAAATTATATTATGGTCAAATTTAATTTCTGTTAATTATGTTCAATGCCTTTTAAATTTCTGCCACATCTAAGACCATTTAATTTCTGTTACTTTATTTGTCTTTAATTAAGTAGAAGATACTTATTTTTCCATGTTAATAAACGCCCCTTTATTTTATAGATGTATACCCCACTTCATGCATCCTCATCGAGTGGTCAAGTGAGTGTTGCCAAATTACTGCTAGAGTTAGGTGTAGAGGTGGATGCAGTCAATTGCTATGGTAACACAGCACTTCACGTGGCCTGTCATAACGGACAAGATGTGGTGGTTCAGGAATTACTTGGGTACGGGGCACAGATTGATGCCGTCAATAATCTTGGACTGGTAAGTGAATATTTTTGTGCCCCCACGTTAGTGGCAGGCATTTAGATTTACCCTTCTCCGTCCGTCCTTCCGCCCGTCCGTCCGTTCACTTTTGTGTCGCACGTACCTCAAAAAGTATTTGACCTAGAGTCATGAAACTTTACAGGAATGTTGATCAGCATGTGTAGTTGTGCACCTGGGTATTTTTCGTCTGGGATATTTTTAGTATTTTCAGAGTTTTATTGCCCTTGACTTAGTAAAAATTTTGGCAATTTTCAACTTGTGTCGCATGTAAACTCAAAAAGTATTTTGACTTAGAGTCATGAAACTTTACAGGAATGTTGATCAGCATGTGTAGTTGTGCACCTGGGGTAAATTTTTCGTTTTGGATATTTTTAGTATTTTCAGAGTTATTGCCCCTTGTCTTAGTAAAATTTTGCAATTTTCAACTTGTGTCGCATGTAACTAAAAAAGTATTTGACCTAGAGTCATGAAACTTTACAGGAATGTTGATCAGCATGTGTAGTTTGTGCACCTGGGTATTTTCGTCTGGGATATTTTTTTAGTATTTTCAGATTTATTGCCCTTGACTTAGTAAAATTTTGCAATTTTCAACTTGTGTCGCACGTAACTAAAAAAGTATTTGATCTAGAGTCATGAAACTTTACAGGAATGTTGATCAGCATGTGTAGTTGTGCACCAGATATTTTCGTCTGGATTTTTTATGTAGTATTTTTTTTAGAGTTATTGCCCTTCAACTTAGAAAATTTTTGCAATTTTCAACTTGGTGTTGAAAGTTACTCAAAAAGGATTTGACATAGTCATTAAACCTTATGGGCAGGTTGCTCAGCATATTTAGATTTGCACCTTGGGTTTCGCTTGTGGATTTATCCAGTATTTGTAGAGTTATTTCCCTTGACTTAGTAAAAAGATTGACAGAACAGTGGCGCGGTGGGGGCACCCGTGTCCTATGGACACATTTCTAGTTCTTATCTAGTTACTTGAGATCAAAACTAATAAATACACATTTAACAAAAAAGGTTTTTAATTGTGTAACAATGAAGAAAATGCATACATGTGCACAGTTTTAAATGAAAAATTGAACTTTGATATCAGCTGACCTAAGTAATTTGATGAAGTGAGCTACTGTCTTGTCCTATGATGTACAGCAATGAATTTTGGTGGATAGGCACAGTTTTAGATGTAAAATTGAACTTTGTACGTAATTTGATGAAGTGACCTACTGTTTTGTCCTTTGATGTACAGCTACAGTGGCTCTTGTTCAAATTTTTTTTTAGACTCAATTAATTAATTTTTGGATATTTGCGTATCATAAATATTAATGAAATAAACATTGCAGACACATTAATTTCATGTTATACTGAAAATCCAGTATTATTCGCAATGTTTTAATTTTCGCTGTTATTCGCAATTCTTTTGCTGTGCGAATTCATGATGCGAGTTTATTATTGCAATGTTACTTTTATATATACATGAATATTTATGTTTTTCAGACACCATTACATTATGCCGCAGCATCTACTCATGGTGGTATATGTGTTGAGATCCTGGTAATCAAAGAGGGGCCTCAAACAAAATTACAGTAAATATTCCATTGTTATTTGAATAATTGTCGAAAGGTTCAATTATAATATTCTCGAAGCAGAGATATATTTTGGCCATATACTAGTCTTTTTATAAGTGCAGTAATGGGTTAACTTCTATAAAATTGAATATGGAGTTAACCTGTGACTGCACCAGCATGACAATACACACATTTGCTTCACATTAGGTTTTAATTGGGTTCTTGAATATTTAGTATAATAATATACTTTAATATACATATTGATATAAATTTCAATACCACGTCCATATTTTAAAGCAGTTTTGTCAAAGATTATTTCAGCTTTTTTTTGAAGACTTTGCCATGTAAACGATTTTCTTTTAATATTAAATATTGTCACCTAAGTGCAGTTACAGGTTAAGTCCCATTGGTTTAAAATAGGATTTAGACCATTACTGCATTTAGGTGATGAATGATTAAATGCCATTTCCATTTTAAAGCTATTAAATGTATCCTAGTCTATAACCGAATATGTTTTTTTTTTTTTACTTTTAAAGATGAATCCTATGATAACCGTTTCTTAATTTCAGGTCAAAATTTGTTATGTTCTTTTAGCAGTTTTAACATTAAGCCCTATGTTGACAGCCTATTCATGGCAAAAGCCTTTACATTCTTTTATTAGCAGGAAAATAAACAAGAAAATGTAACCAAAGTTGCAGATGCCAAGGGCAGTAATACAGGAAGTATGTTAATCCAGCAGAGAATTACCTCCCTTGTCAATGGGGAAATATTTGCATATTCCAGTGGTCATGAATATTCATGTGCATGATATTCTAAATATAATGCCATCAAGATCTGTGATACTCTCTTATTGTACTATAGATTCTGCTTTGTAAAAGATTTATCTCTGAATTATGAAGTAGATGAAGAAAAAAAAGAGGATAAAATGATAAAAGATATAAAAATAACATGAGCCATTGTTCAAACATTAATTGAAATGTTTTTGAAATAAGGGACACTTTTCAAAAAAAAAATTAATCCTGAATTTGCATATTTTGTGACATGGACTTGACCTGCATTGAATTTGGATCGGTCCATTGCTGATCTAAAGGGTTCCACTTCTGCATATGATTAAAATAAGTAGCTAAAAGTGTAGAGTCTGGGCAGATGGCTAGCCAAACACATTTTACTACTAGTTAAAGCTTCATGCCTCCAGATGAGCAAAACTATTTCAAGAAAGTCAAATTTGAGAAAAATGTAATGATATTTTTTAAAAGGTGAAAAGATTCAATAGTCAAGTAATTATAATAATTTACGTGTTATTCAAGTATTAATTTACATGTTATGTGCGATTTAATGACACACATTGCAGTATTTATCTCTATATTAGGGGCGTCCGTGGCCGAGTGGTTAAGGTCATTGACTTCAAACCACTTGCCTTTCACTGCTGTGGGTTCAAAGTCCGATAGGGACTTTGGATTCTTTCGAGTTAGGAAGCTATCCAGCTAGCTTATGGAACGTCGTTGGTTCTACCCAAGTGCCTGTTCATGCCTGAAATAATGCACGGAAGGGCACCTGAGGTCTTCCTCCACCAGTAAAGATAAAACGTCGCGATATGACCTATACTGTGACAATGTGACGTTAAACCCAAAACAATTCAAACAATCTCTATATTTCAACTGCGTGACTGATGCAGCAAGGGCTGTATTTGCATAATTTGACCTTTCTTTGGTTATTTGATTGGATTGTAAGTGCCGCTTGCAGAGACTGTAAATTATTTCCTCTGTTCCCTTCACAACATTTTACTTTTTAATAAATTTTCATATTTTTTTGTTAAATTAGCGTAAATCTGGAGGTATGCTGCTTTATTAAGATATTGTGCTATTTAATGTATGGGCAATATCTGCCCTCCAAAAGATTATGACCAAAATGAAAAGATGACTGTACATAAGATATCATTTATTATGAAGGCAGACTGATCTGACTCTATATTTATGGCAAAGACTGTTTATTTATTTTCAGTACCAGCTTTTGAATGATTAAATATAGATCATGATTAAATAAAGATCTTTTACAAACAGATATTCTCTTGAAATATTCCAAGTCTTGTGATGGACTATGAATGTACATGTATTATACTAGATATATCATTCTCTTCTTATTTCAGCCTTTGCATTATTCAGAATGTCATGTATACAGTGCTGCACTCTTTTCAGTGTCTGAATCCCTTACATACATTGATCTTAGAAAAATATTCTTTTCCATTATGAACATAATGTTAAAATGGTCCCAAAATATTTATTAGTTTACAACATCATAATTTTTTAATAAAACTTTAAGGTTGAATCCATTTTGAAGGGGAAAATATATGGACTTGAGTTAAGGCTTGAAATAAAACAGCAAATTTTTTTGTTGATTTTACATATATGCACAGAATTAGTTGATATGATATATTAAATACTTATTTTTTAGCTCACCTGTCACAAAGTGACAGGGTGAGCTTTTGTGATCGCTTTTCGTCCGGCGTCCGTCTGTCGTCCGTCCGTAAACTTTTACTTTAAATGACATCTCCTCATAAACCACTAAGCCAATTTCATCCAAACTTCACAGGAATGTTCCTTTGGTGGTCACCTTTAAAAATTGTTCAAAGAATTTAATTCCATGCAGAACTCTGGTTGCCATGGCAACAAAAAGAAAAAACTTTAAATATCTTCTTTTAAAAAACCGAAAGAGCTAGAGCTTAGATATTTGGCATGAAACATCTTCTAGTGAGTGTCTACCAAGATTGTTCAAATAAAAGCCCTGGGGTCAAAATTGGCCCCGCCCCCGGGGGGTCATTGATTTTCCCTATATGTATATAGTAAAAACTTAAAAAAAAATCTTCTTTTAAAGAACTCAAAAGCTAGAGCTAAGATTTTAGCATGAAACATGTTCTAATGGGTGGTCTTACCAAGTTTGTTCAAATAAAAAGCCCTGGGGTCAAAATTGGCCCCGCCCCAGGGGGTCATTAATTTTCCCTATATGCATATAGTAAAAACTTAAAAAATCTCCTTTTAAAGAACCCGAAGAGCTAGAGCTTAGATATTTGGCATGAAACATCTTCTAAGTGAGTGTCTACCAAAGATTGTTCAAATAAAAGCCTGGGGTCAAAATTGGCCCCCGCCCCAGGGTGTCATTGATTTTTCCTATATGCATATAGTAAAAACTTAAAAAATCTTTTTTTTTAAAAGAACCCAAAGAGATAGAGCTAAGATATTTAGCATGAAACATCTTCTAATGAGTGTCTACCAAGTTTGTTCAAATAAAAGCCCTGGGATCAAAATTGGCCTCGCCCCAGTGGGTCATTGATTTTCCCTTTATGCATATAGTAAAAATTTAAAAATCTTCTTTTAAAGAACTCATGGAGCTAGAGCTAAGATATTTAGCATGAAACATGTTCTAATGGTTGTCTACCAAGTTTGTTCAAATAAAAGCCCTGGGGTCAAATTGCCCCGCCCCTGGGGGTCATTGATTTTACCTATATGTATATAGTAAAAACTTAAAAAATCTTCTTTTAAAGAACCAAAAGAGCTAGAGCTAAGATATTTAGCATGCAACATGTTCTTAATGGGTGTTCTACCAAGTTTGTTCAAAATAAGAGCCCTGGGTTCAAAATTGGCCCCGCCCGGGGGTCATTGATTTTTCCTTATATGTGTATAGGAAAAACATCTTTGAAAAAAACCCAAATAAGCTAGAGTTTAGATATTAAGCATGAAACATGTTCTATGTAAGTGTCTACAAAGTTTGTTCAAATAAAAGCCCTGGGGTCAAAACTGGCCCCGCCCCAGGGGTGTCATTGTTTTTAACTATATGTGTATAGTAAAAACTTAAAAAATCTTCTTTAAAAAAACACAATGAGCTACAGCTTAGATGTTTAGCATGAAACATCTTCTTATGGGTGTCTACCAAGTTTGTTCAAATAAAAGCCCTTGTTAAAATTGGCCCTGCCGGGGGTAGGGGAGGGCAGATCATTGTTTTTCATTATAAGTGTGTACATGTACATCATGAAACGTCTTCTTATAGGTGTCTTCCAAGTTTGTTCAAATAAAAGCCCTGGGGTTTAAACTGGCCCCGCTCCGGGGGCCTACATACAGGTGAGCGACCTTAGGGCCATCATGGCCCTCTTGTTTTAAATTTTCTATGAAATGGTATGAATTGAGCACCATTTTTGCATGAAATATTAAGATGTTTTTATTTTCAGAATTCATAAATTTCCTAGACTGAGGTAGTCATTGAAGTTGTCTTTGCCCCATATTAAGAAAACTCACAGTATTTTCAGATACGAAATCATTATATTTACATATACATGTGTGTGAATTTTAGACCAGAGATGGTTTGACCCCACTTCATATAACAGCGCGGCACGGTTGGGCGACCAGATCACAAACCCTGATTCAGGACGGGGGTACGAAAGCGCTAGATAAATATGAGAATTGTGTTCTATTATTATTTTATTTATTTATTTGTTTAGTAACAGCTTTGAATAATTAACAGCTTCAGACTTAAATAACAACGTTCATGTTAGAATTAATAATTCTCTTTTTTTTTCTGAGATACTGAGAAGGAACAAGGAAATTTTTTATTTGTGATCAATATTTTTAAAACATCTTTAATATTGTACAGTCAGGCACCTTTACAGTTGTTCTACATATTGCAAAGATAGGCACCTTCTATTTGCCAAACTTTGCAAAGATACAAACCTTAAAAGTTGCCCTTCACAGCAAAGGTACAAACCTTAAAGTTGACCTTTATGGCAAGAATTGCGAAGCAAAAAATTGCCCAACAGGGCATAGATTCAAAAAACCAAAAGTTGCTCTTCATGGCAAAGATAAAAACTGCTAAAAGTTGCCCAACAAGGCAAAGATAAGAACTGCTAAAAGTTGCCCAACAAGGCAAAAATAAGAACCTTAAAAGTTGTGCTTCATGGCAAAGGTACAAGCCTTAAAAGTTACCCTTCATGGCAAAGATAAGAGCTGCTAAAAGTTGCCCAACAAGGCAAAAATAAGAACCTTAAAAGTTGTGCTTCATGGCAAAGGTACAAGCCTTAAAAGTTACCCTTCATGGCAAAGATAAGAGCTGCTAAAAGTTGTCCAACAAGGCAAAAATACAAAAACCCTGAAAGTTGCCCATCATGGCAAAAATAAGAACCTTAAAAAGTTGCCCTTCATGGCAAAGATAGAACTGATAAAAGTTGCCTAACATTGCAAAGAAAGGAATGATAAAGATCAAAAGTTGTCCAATATGGCAGAGATTAAACAAAACTTTGTTTTGTTTATATCCTTGGTTTACAATAATGTATACAATGTATTGTATAAGAAATATTGTATATATATAGCTCAATTTGTTTCTGAATACTTTTGATGCTGGAAGGTTGTCTGTATCATATGTTATTAAAATGCAGAAAGTTTATTCAATAAAGATAATTCAACCTGTGCAAAAATTCACATTAAATAAATGCTATTAAATACAAAATGCTGATTTACTAGTAACTACAAAATGCAAATTAACTACAAAATGCCATTTAATACAAATTGCCAAAGGAGATGAATAACATAAAGCCTTTCTCTGTTATATCAAATTTACAAAATTTAATAGTGGAAAATTATTTCCATTCTTTGCACAAGACTTTAGAAGCAATAATAAAAAAGCAAATAGAAACAATGACAATCTATTAGTTATTGCCTATTGTACAATAGCTGCAGAC